ATGCTTAATGCGTTCATATGGTTTTGTTTATGTAGATGCATCAGTTCAATTTCGTGTTTTGTACAGACGGACTTTTTTCATTTCTTCTTCTTTTTTGTATATACGGCTTAAAAGTTATTTGCATCCTTCTATATTCGTGATACACTGCTTTTATCTGTATATGTGGAAAACTGCGAGTGCTCGATCAGGCTCGTGTACAGTTTGGAATGGCAAGTAACGGACGAAGGTGTATGGTTCCGGCAAATTCGTGCATAACCGGTGCATGGAGAGGTTCGTTTTCGTAGTGTGCTCCTATGAAAGCTTTAGGGATTGTGGACGAACCCCACTATTTTTTCACAGAGGCTAATCCCTTCCGTCGCTCATCTGGAAGAGAGAACTATCTGCGCTTCCTCAATAGCAATGTGGAATATAGCTTCGAACGGGGGAATTTATTTAGGGCGGAAGCTTTTACTAAGGCTGTGAGCAGTGCCAAGGAGATCAATTATGTTGCAGCGAACTGCCAACTGCTGATAACTCCTCTGGACGAAAGTGGAGAAATCTGTCGGAATCCGGATGTGCAAGTGCCATGGTCAGATGTTTTAATGGTGAGGTGTTACCAAACGGAGGAGTCTGTGTGTCCCATATGCTTGGATGCGCCAGTTTTACCACGTATGGGACCATGCGGACACGTCTACTGTTATCTTTGTGTCAGTTGTTATATTGCTTTTGAGAACGATACCTCCTGCAAACAATGCGCTGTTTGTGGGGTTCAGTTAAGAACCAATGATTTGAGAAGGTTGGTTGGTTAACTTGTCACTCTCACTTCCCTCCTGTTCAGGGTTCGTATTTTCCCGTCTCGTGTTCCAAAGGTCGGCGATATGGTTCGGTTGGAACTTATGCGTCGCCGCAAGAGGTCCATTTTCCCGACGGTCGCGAGTGAAATGCAAGGAGATTGGAGAAGCGGCGGTCGTGAGGCTGACGTTGCCGCGAGATTTTTATCCCGCTTGGCAGTGGCAAAACGGGAAGATATAAGTGAGCTTGTAGATGGGGATATAGCCACAATGGAGGCCATTCTGGCAGAAGGCCAATCGGAGGAGGTAGATGAACAAAGGTTCCTCATTGCAAAGAGAATTTTGCGTAAACTTAAGGCAGAAAAGAAGGTCATGGAAGATGTCATGATCTCCACAAGCGATGAGGCTTCGTCTGTCCCAGAAGACACTACAGCTGAGGACTACTTCTTTTACTACCAAGGTTTGGTGATCATTGATTTGTTTCATTTCCACTTACTGCAGAAGTCAGTGGCCATGACGTCTACCTTCACAGCATGAACTGGCGATGTCTTGTGGAAGATTTTGGTGTCTCTAACTTACCCCAAGAAATTAGGGGCAAGGTTGTCGAAGTTGAGACTTACACCATGAGTTCGGTAGGTGTTAAGTGTGCTAGGAGCATGCGATAGTTTATTGAAGCATTCATATGAGTGTTTTCCGTTTGACTCTATTAGACATTGCGCAGTCGGTATCGCCATCTGAGACACCTGCCTTTGGGGCGTACGTTTCGTCTGATAGAGATTGAATTCGAGAGTCCGATTATCAGTGCAGAGACCCTTCTTCTGGTGTCAGACATACTTGCCATGCGACAGCGCCGAAGAGAGCAAAAAGAAGCTCGTGAAAGGAGTCTAACGCGCGCCAAAGAGGAAGCTGAAGACCTGCTTCTGTCAGTGCGTAAGTATGGACTTGTATTGCTCCAGAACCTGGTCTTTATGTTTCTTATTTAGTGAATTTATATGTGCACAGAATAGTCAGTTGACTTTAATGATCGACATCTGGAGTGACTGACATGGTTTTTGTGATTAGCAATTGCCGGATTTGGTAGTTCCTTTGCGGCAGTGTGACAACCACAAATACGGTGTATGATGGGAACCACTCCTCCATGTGCTGTGTTTGTTCGAGGTCACACACTGACACTCCACAAATTAGCGTCGCATTTGTTACTGTAGCTTAGTTATCCATGTAAGTTGTACTGGGTGAGGTGTTAATTATGTAGGGGGAGAGAGGCGCGGCATTCCTGTTGCATTTTATTTGCTGCAGTCTTCTGATTTGCGTTAGGTGTGATGCAGGTGGGATGCTTGGTGTGGTGTGCGATCTGAAAGATTTGCTCGTGACTCTTCACGTCTTAAATGAAGTGACTAAGACATGGTGCACTGTGACATTTGGAATGTGGGTGATTGAGGTGAGATGAAACATTGTAGCTGCTGAATCGCGACCGTTCATTCGTACGTCGTGGACACAAGTGGTTCCCACAGACGAGGACTTTGTTCCTCTGGACGTTGCCATGGCGGAGGTGTTGTCGTCAAGTCGATGTCACTCAAGTCCTGTTCTGCCATCACTACTGCCATCTTTCATCTCCTCGGCTGGTGTAAGTTGCTTGATTGGTTGTCACTGAGTGTTGATTGCACTTGATTAGTGTAGTTAGTGCAGCATGTGAAAAGGGGGATTATGATCTTCGTCTCAATTGAATCTTAGGTGTCCCTGAACAGTAAGTGTAATGTAGATGGTAGTTTGAATGTGACCGATTTCGTACTTGGTCACTTTGTAGTCAAGGAAGTAGTCGACTAAAATCTTGTGTCTGTTTAGTGTCACCTTTGTGATGGTTGTGTTTCACTGCAATTATCTTTAGACTGTGCGGTGTCATTGCACAGAGTAAGGAAAGTGGTTGGGATGAGTGGCGATGGTGGTGTGTTATAGTAAGTTGGATTGATGTTTGTGTGTGGACAAAAAGATGTAGTTGGCAATTTGGCCATTATGTAGCTGTACAAATACGTGTGTAATATTCGTATTTTAATTGAAATTACTTAAATTAGCTATCATCTGGGACTGTGGTGGCTAGTGGCGCCTGCGTTGACGGAATGGAATCCCCTGAAAAGGTGAAAACGACCTCCTCTTGGCTCGATGTAGCCTCCAGAGGTCAGGGCGTTGGAAGTGGTACCATCACTGCTGCTGCTGCCACCACCTCTAATGCCACTGCTGCTGCCAACTGCTCTGTGTGGTCCTTGTCACAGGCCTCATCATGCACAGCAGATTCCTCTGTGTTTGGCCATGACTCGTCTAGCGCCGTCCCTGCGAATGCACAAGAAGCGGTGTCTGTATCGAGGTCGAGACGGAAGAAGGGTCGTGCGAAGCACGCCGAGTAGCTGGCTAACTCGGTGTCATTGGGGCGTATCTCTGTCGTCGAGAAGTGTTGGACGTTGAGATGTTCACTACCCAGTACTCGCTTGCCATCGTCTTTACCCGATTGTACGATTGTTAGTCAGTCAGTCTGTTTGCCTGTATGGCTGGCTGGCTGACTGGCTGCCTGTGTGTCCGCGCCCTTCGATCCTTTTGTGATGAGAGTGACTGAATGCCATGAAGTTGAATGCATTTCCGATGCCGCCTACTTTGGTATTTGCCATACCTCTTGACCTTCCGCATCTCCCACTGTACGTTGAGTCAATTGATTTGAGCGCAAGCACGTCTTCCCAAAACGAGTTTGCCCCATCTATCGGAAGTGGCCTCTAGGTGTTTTGGAATGCCCTTCAGAGAGATGTACTACTGGATTTAATCCCAAGTTCTTTCTCGCTTGCCTTCTCGAAGACACCGATTGCGATGGAAGCGCCTTCTGACCTCCAGCTTGGATGCAGCAGTCACTGCAAATGTGATGTTTATAATGGAGTTGATTGGTGGCTATTTGGAAGGCATTACGTGTGAAAGAAGAAGGGTATGTATTTGGTGTTTGATTGTCTTTGCTCAACTGTGAGGTGTGGTAACGGTGGATGGTGGGTGGTTCGACGTCAGAGAGGTTCCTCGTGCCCATGGTGGTGGGAATGTGGTTGCTGATTGTGGTAGGTCAGTGTCATGGGTGGATGTATTGAGGGATGGGAGGTGAGGTAGATGTGAAGGGAATTGCATGAAGGCAGTGAAGGCTGTCCGGGTTACGTGAGGTGCGGACGTAGTGGATGGCGAAGTTGAAGTTTGTTGCCTCGTTGTACGTGTGAAGTGTGCGATTGTGGACACAGATTGGGTCGTGCAGTACTGGATTCTTTGGGCGTGGACGCAATGCCCTCTATCTGTGTGATTGATGAGGAGGAAATTTGTGGATCTGGTTTTGGAGGACAAACAAGTATCTGGGTGCCTCGTTGACCGTTGGCATGCATGCGTGAGGATTGCGAACTGGGAGGAAGGCAAGGTGATGCGGATGGTTTACTCGTGGGGTCGCCATTGTGCCTGCATTATATGGTGGAAGTCGTCAGTGTGGAAGAGTATTTGTTGTGAGTGCAGAGAAGAGGTGGTGTGGATGCAAGTGAGATGGAAGTGGAGGACGAGATGGAGGGCGAAGTGGAAGAAGTGCCTGTGAAATTGAAGGTGCGTGGGTGAGCAGAACATCTGTCGAAATCATGGCTTGGTTGTCAGCTTTCTCGACTTAGCCTTTGGATTCTTGAGTCAGGACTGAGACAGCAAGGTTTTTCACGAGACATCGGCAGTTTGTGCTATGAAGGTAGGCGTCATGGTCACTCACTATTGCCGTTTGGTGGAAGTGAAACGTGCGAAAAAATCACAGAATCTTGGTGGTAAAGAAGTAGTCCGCAGCCGTAGTATAGTCCGATTTGGGCAGCGCCATTGCACTGGTGGAAATCGTGACTCCTCTCACGACCTTATATCCGTTTCTCACCATGCGCATCATTCTCTTTTTGATGGAAAGCCTTTGACCGTCTGCTCGTCTGACTGGTTTTCTGCTAGAACTGCCTTCATTGCGTCGATGTCCGCAACTGCAAGGAAATCTATGCCTTCTCGTTTGGTCATATTGAGGGGGATGAAAGCTGTGAGGCAATGTGAGTGAGAGTGACAATTTGTTTGTCTGACTGACTGAACAACTGCCTCTACTCATGACTTGGTAATTAAACGGCATAAGCAGCGACTGGAGGTGACGAGGCGATGGATGTGTTTGCATCGTGAGTAGTGCCTTGCGCATGGTGGGGGTGAGAGATGAGATGGTTGGTTTATGGCATGAGACGTCCTCGTGACGAGGTGTCTTCAGTCTCGAGGGATGCTCCATTTGAAGGATGGCAGGTGTTGTACTACCGAGGTCAATTCATGGGTCATGCCGTCTGCCACCGAAGCACGGATCGCAGATGACGCATGTGAGTTGGTGGCATCTCGAACTCCGTGTCAATACAGCAGAGGAAAGGTTGTAGTATGTGAGAACTACAATGTGTACTTGGTGTGTGTGGTTGTTGGAGCTGCGTGTCTGCTCCGGTGGTTCGTCAGGTTAGTCATGGGACTACACTGACTGGAGGAGCAAGAATGTCCTGCTGGTGGTGTAATCGTCGACATTCATCAGTCAGTGTTGTGTGCACGTGATAGTGTCTTGTTAGTGAAAATTCGAGGACTTCTAATGTACTTGCTGTGGAGCAACTCCGTCGAGTAGTTGGTCCTGGCCTGATCTACGATTATCCACGCGCGACTAGTACGTGGTTGCATCATTTCGTGCAATCCATGTTCTGCCTCCCCAAACCATTCACGTGTTTGTAACAGCAGACGTCGCATGATACAATTGTGATGGTCATTCACGAGATGCTCCATTTCAGCCATCTCTAGTCATTACTTGTGATTGGCTCTTCTTTGAAGTGTGTGTTCGTCAGAGACGTGACCACTGTGCCACTCATCACCACAATGGCAAGGCCGTCATCCTAGTCGAAGCAGCTTGGTCTTGCAGACTCTGCAGCAGCCCTTTTTAGGCTACCGTCAGCATAATTAAATATGATTGTACTGACGAGGATATTGTGAGTCTTGGGTGATTCTTCCCTCCTTCCGTTTACCGGATATCTGCTTCACGCACACACAAGGCGTTGTCGGCAAACAGCGCATCGCCAAGTCTACTGAAGTGCGTATTTGCACAAAACCTAAGTCGGTATCTTCCGACATATTAATTTGGCAACTCACATCGCCGCGTTGACACATTTGTCAGTTGACTCCCAGCCGCGTTGTGTTAGATCATGATAAATATTCCTAAGGTGCGTCAGGTACCTCATCCGCCTGACACTGTCAGGCTTAACAAATCGTGTATTGTCACACCTAGATGAGCTCTGACAAGCGCGAGAACGTCCAGCTGTACGTGTGATTTGAGGATGCTTAGCCACTATGATAAGAATGGATCCATTCCTGCGAATATCTGTTCTTAGACATTCGGTGGTACAGAATCACTCGCCAGTCTCCAGCACGGCCAGCGATCGTGACCATTGGAGGTGCAGCTTACCTCACGTTCTGTGCTCGTGCCCCATGTCAAGAATCACGTGCTTTCTTTTGAGAAAATTCTACAAAGTGGCAAACTTCCCACTGATCTTCCCATGATTCACGTTGAACTTAATGTTTCTTTCAGTCCTCATTAGATGCTATGCATTACTTTTCTTCTAGCTAGGCGTCAATTACATTGTCAATCTCAGGAAAGCGTCTTTAATAATCGCTTTCTTGTTTTTACTGCCTTCTACTCACGGGTTTTTCGCCTAACCTCTGGATTACTTTTTTGCCTAGTAAGGAATCCAAATTTTGATGATGTGAAATAGGAGAGGCGCCATTGTTTACAGTTCCGTTTTATTTCCTACCCTACATCCACAAGTGACTGGCTCAGTTCTTTTTCTCCTTACTAGACAAATAGGTGAAGCGCATGTTTGCTTAGTAGTTTTTGGTGTTCTGTGTTGTCGGCGTCGATGGCATGAATGAAGTAGAAGTAGAGGTCGTCCAAGTTAATGGGCAGCCTCAAAGTTGAAAAGACTGGGTTAAGGACATCTTCTTCTTTGAGGTGTTGGCAGCAATGCGCCAATTTCACGTTTACCTCTGTGTTATGCCAGAAATTTGTTCCAAACCATGGCGCTGTGGCTTACTCTTGACAGCAATATCTTCATCTTTAGACCAAAATGAAACTATCTCCACTCCAACTTTCTCGAAATATGCTTTTCTAAGTTTAGTTGTTTGAATAATCTTGCCCCCCCGTTGAGTTCTCCCCTTTAACAATAATAATGTGGAGGTGACCTCTACTATCTGCTGACGATCACGGCGGGGTCAGACTTACGCAAAATGATTTGATGAACAGTCTGGACCTGTAGTATATCCTCTTATCCCATGCGTAATCACATTATCATCCCCGGATTTCGTTTCCCGAAGCCTTATATCTTGAATACTCCGACAGGAAAGTTTACCTTTTCTTGATTGTACAGCCACATGGAAGAGCATACTCGATCTAGAGGAACCGGCGACAAAGTAAATGATACCACGAATGGTGGTTAAAAGTGCGACTTAATTCGTTCGTGAAACAGCTTGACAATGGAATGAGAGAGGAGGTGGGAAAGGTGGGACACCTTCATATTGCTGTTTAAGTATTTATTTTGCTGTGTGATTCGCTAACAGCCAGAAATGGTCTACCTGAGCTTCGTGCCCAACACGAAGACCTGGGGGTCTGCTACAATAAACCGAAATGGAGCATATTGTGACTTACTTGGAAAAAAGACTATCCCATCCACGTTTTTAGGAGTCGAGTAGCACCAAGTGTGATGATTAGGTGGCATTAAAATAAAAAGTAAGTAGCAGGGAGAACTGAATACCGCTTTTTATCTTCATGAAGATACTCTTAATCTCGAAGTCTATTAAATGACTCTGGTGTGAGGCAAGTGTACCCGCGACCATCAATTAGCATTTGAAATGTGGGAGTTAAAGATCATCTTCCAGCCTGTCTTTTCTTTAGAAGAAGAAGAGGACGATTCCAATCATGCATTGTTGTGGCTCTTTAGAATTATATTCAATTTTCCATGGGTACTAATGGCCATTCATGGCGGTCAGAATACGTTAGTTGTTGAGTCGTATAGATCACAAGACGAAAATTGGAGATTGAACAGGCCGTGAACTTGCTTGTTCACACACTTTTCGATAAGTAGCGCCATTTGCAGCCTTATATGTGTGATCAATTAATGCAACAATGCTGTCACAAAAGCCGGGACTGCTATTGGCAAAGGGGATCATTCGGTGAAGGATGTGAGAGGAGGTTTGGTGTTCTACTCTGTGCATTTGTTACTTAATCATAAGTGGGTGTTGAGCTTGTAGCAGTTTTGAGAAGTAAATGAGGCTTCACTAATGCCGCCGCCGTAATCCTACGCAGCTTGAGTTACTCACAGTCCACGCCTTCCTTTGTGACTTAGTACGGTTTGTTAAGATTAGATGTTCTATTCAAATCGGTCCCAGATAGAGCTGACATCACCGCAACCCACTGAGGGCTTCCATGTGGTTTCCTGGCTCTGTATATTTTTGAGCCATAGTAAATATTGTTCTGGTATTAAGAGCATTGTAAAATTAGATCGAACTCGCACAGGAGGGGAGGAATTTTGTCCTTTCGGGGAGAGGTAGGCAAAAGTTACCCCACAAAATTTGCAAGATTTCACTTTCAAGGCGCAAATAGTGCAGAATAATACTTGTTTCTACTTTTGTAGCATCTATTGAGGAAACTCAAGTGACTACGTAGCATAAGATGCAGTGAATTTTGGTAATATGGTTGTAAACCAAACGCATCTATATATTTCCTCCAAATTATAAGGGCTGGTGTTTAAGGTTGATTGTAACTTTCGTGCCTTTTCTCTTAGAAATCGTGCCACTTTACAGCTGAATAAAGGTATTTAAAAGCACATACTCTTTGTCTGATATCTCTAGTCTGCTGCAAACTATAAGTAAATGTATCTACTAACGCACTACAACACGTGCTTGCGAAAAGTAATAAAAGTAAGATTTGCTAGTTACAAACACAAAAACTTTTAAGGGGTTTAAACAGGGGTACATCATCAACAGTAATTCATGTCGCGCATATTTAGCCTTTTAGGACCGCCTAACTCAGAAGACGATACTCTGGATGGGTGAATTGAACTCTCCTCTTTTGGATCTGTATTCCTTATCAATATGCGATCTGGAGGACGAAAATCCTTTGTTTCAAAATATCAATGAATCGTTTTTGCACCTGAAAAAGTTGCTGGCGTTCAATTCTGTGGATGATCTGCGAACATTTTTTCGGTCTGAGGACTTTGGGACTGTTGAAGATGTTTCCACATTCTGCGGTCGAATCAACTGCTGTCCAGTTTCACAAAGGCTGTTTAAACGTTTTATGAAACGTGGTCCCTCACTTCAATGCATCAGTGCGTTTTATTTGTCACTAAACGAGGAGATACCTGGTGGTCTGGAAAATATATTGAAACTGCCGGATAACTTAGCTCTAATGGTTTTATCCGTAGGTTTGCCTTTCACGTATGTCTAAATTCCAGAACTTTTTTGTTTTTTGGTCTCCCATGGTGTATTATGGTTTTCTACGCCACGAAGGTGCTCTCGAAAGTGTTAACGTTGTCCATGATTTCCTTGCGGATTTACGCGTATTTGAGGCCTTATACGAATCGATCAGGTAAGTCATTTATTTTTCTTTTAATGAGTTATATTTAGGGACGAACAGCAGTTTATCTACTCATGGATGCAACACACACTGATCTGTGAGTAACTGATGAAACATTTGAAGCCATCTACAGCTTTGAATTTATGTTCGCAGTTATTTAATTAAACCATACTCTTCTGTGATTTTAGCTGATAGCGATGAAGATCCACCTTGGCAACAGCACTCAATATCTGATCGAATGGTTGAAAATGTTCAAGACGCTCTACGAATCTGCTCCAAGGAGTTTCTCTCATTTCTCTCCACTGTCAAACTTTGTGTGAAAGTAAGCAAATTTTTCTACGATGCCTCAGAATTTGTCCACGCGTTTCGCGCCTCCTACGCTACCTTCAAGTCCGTCCATGCTTTTTCTCTCGCCAATTCGGATCTCGAAGCTACTAGCATTCGTTGGGAGTATGAGACTCTCTGCGTGTAGGTTTCATTTCATTTACAGCGCATTGGATGTGCTTTTTGAAAGCTGTGCGTCAAAGATAGATGTCGCTAGGTACCCAGTTTTCCTAATAACAATGAATATCCTCAGACAACTTCTCTAGTGTGCTACTAATACCTAAGCGCATAACTTCACCTTCGTTGTTTTAGTATGCTGCAATCAATGAATGCCTACGCCATGTATCTGGATCCGGATCACCGGGATATTCTCTACAAGATAGCACCACAGGTCCTTCTGCGGGTAAATCGGTTAGGATTAAGTGTTGCCTCAGACAGCGCTACTGAGGCGCAGCTGCTGACTTCGCTTCCACGAGGCGACAACAACTCGGGCTTTCGGCGTGGCCTTTCAACCCTCTCATTTTCACCAGGAACAATGGCGAGGATCATCTACCATGCACCTGACCCCTCGGCTGGCGATTCCCCCTCTGCATCCTGTTCGGTGAGTCTATTAGCTGGATTTGTGTGGCCTTAATTTTATTTCGGAGGACGTACTTGTTCTTCATTACGCAAATTCTAGTAATGGTGGTAACAGGAGTAGTAGGCTATGTTAGAAGTAGTTATTCCTGAATTATTTTTGCTAGCATACTTTTTGTTTCTAATTACAGGACATGGTTTCTGTTACTTTTCACCCTTTCCATCCCTCTTTCATTCGCATCATTTTTTCGGACAAATTAGACGGCGCTCGCGATCTACAAGTTTCTCTTAGTAAATTACGGGTAGTAACATTAGTGAAAGGAGGCCCTCCATTAGTGGTTCGCTGAGACGTCATTCCATACCTCTATCATTTCGCTGCCGTCAGGTTAGATTTGTTTTGCAATTGCCTTTTAGCGTTGGAGAATATGGCCATTTTACTAAACTAACTTGATCAGAGGTCTTGTGGTTTTCATTGCTCTAAAATTAAAAGTAGCTCCAACTGAACTTTTGTGTTAGCACCCCACAGGCCTGAATGACAAGGTCAGAGCTGTTTTGTGACGTCATGTGCCTCAGTTCCGTGAACCTGTCTTCCTTTGGCATACTTTCTTATCATTTCCTCCATTCCAACTCTGTGTAGTTACCGTTGGGCGCGTTATTTTGCTGTGTCCTCGATATCTTCAAGCCTGGTTTTCGAATAGCGTGTTTCAGGTTTTTGAAGGAGTATATTGTGTGTTTGAATACATCCTGATTCGATCATTTCTTCTCTTACATTTGCCTCCTTTTGAGAGACTCACGCATCTAGCTCTTTCACTTCTAGTGATTCAACTAAATAAGAACTGGCTAATTCGTTACTTCTACTTTTTTGCGTGCCTATCCAAATTAATGATATCAGTGCCTGGATAACTTTACCACTTAACGCTTCAACATGCCTGGAAAGGATGGAAATTTATTCTTTGAAGGTGAAAAGACTTTTCTTGATGCTATTTTTAGCAGCAAAAGTGCCTTTTCCGTGATTTTTAATCCCTTGTTCATAAATTTGTGAACACTCTCCTTCCGTTATGATGACTTTTCTGCATAATCTTGTGGTAAGTAGCTAGATTTTGTCTTATTATTACATACTTTCTCACCGGTTTTTCAACGGTAAACTAAACTATTTTTGGTATTTTCAATACCCCATTTGTACTGTTAGCTACATTAGAAGACTATTCTCAGTCTGCTAAGTTAGCTGCCAAGGCGATAGTTTTAATTATTGTGGTCAATTACTGTGAGCAAGACAAGATTTTGCAGTCACTACGAGGCCCGTGCACGAGTGGGAAGCCTGGATGGCATTTATTTTCTTACCATCACCTTCTGCTGAATACTCTTAATCCTGTTCTTCTTCACACCCCCTAGTTAATGCGTGTATCCCGTAGCAATCAGCATTTACTATGTACCTGTCTGTCTCCTGCCTTTCCTTTCTATAGTTCCGTCATTTTTTGTATGGTGTTTACCTGTTATCAAATCACACTCCCAGTATCCCGAGAGGAAAGATTTGTCAAAAGTCGTCATATCTTCTTATCCATCAAGTATTTCTTAAGTAATCTCATTTTTCGTTTGAATTATTACTTGATAACTGATACAAATGCTGTTGCGATAGCACATCTTGATATGCATCGTATGGATTTTGAGGATTTGACATTAAATAAGGGCCATCATCATCTTCATTTCCGTACCAGGCGCGGCGAACTCAATCCGAGGTGTGTAGCAAGAAGTCCGAGGCCATAGAGAGTGTCGACACCCTCTCTGTCGGTGCCCTGAACCTGGAGAGGAGGCAGGAGGAGGATTGTGAGCAGGGCCTTATACCTCCGATGGAAGTGCAAGTTGAGGATGAAAACGAAGGTGATGATACCGAGTTAACGCAGTTTTTGTCTCTACCACTCACTACCACCACTAGTGGTAGTGACTCTCCACCTCGTCAGCCCATCTGCATGGCTTTTGGACTCGCGGAATTGGGTACCTTCTACTATGCCCTCTGCAACTACCGCCTCGCCTTTCGTTTTGCTATGTTGGCACTGGAGCAGATTAGAATGGTGCCGTGTACATCCCGTGTGGTGATTCAGGTGCTGCGATTAGCCTGTCGCATCTGCATCATTCAGAGGAAGTATGCTCTCGGTGTGAGGCTTATCAAGTGGCTGGCAAAGTTCACCAGGTTGGTTGACACCTTTTTTCACTTCCAAAATCTAATACCTGAAAGGAAATTAGGACGCGGCTTCTAGGTGCTACCTTGTAATGTATCTTACATCCACCGATTGGCTTTCAGATATGTTTCCCTATGGAAAGTGACCATCACGTAATATGTGGGCATAATGTTTTTTTTTTTTTTATAATTGTACCCTTTCAACACAGTTTACTGACACCATTCTTCTTTCATTTGCACCACTACCTTTTAATAGGGGGAGGAGGGTCTTGGCAGGTACGCAGAAGATTGCTCTAAAAAGATTAGAATTAGGTACAGTCAGTTGCTTGTTGAGAATTGTAAGGAATTTCTCTTTTCTTTTGCCACTTTTGTTCCAGGGAAAAGTTGGGCTCTCACAACCTCCTCTATGCCAATATCCTCCTTGACTACGGCTGCCTCCTTCTTAACACTGATAATACCACAAAAGCTGCTGAACTCTATCGAGTAAGCCTTTTTTCATTGCTATTATTACTTCCTAATTGACCGATTACGAATTTTGATCAAGGTTTTACCTGGCTCCATTTCAACCAATCAAAGGTGGCTTGTATTCCTTTCCTGTGAACCGCTTTCTAACCTGCCTGATAAATGCATCCACCAATGTGGAATTGTTAATTTGGTAGCAAACACAAAGCCATTTTCCTTCATGTGGGTGTGTATGGGTGTGTATTTCACACTTCCTCCCAGGCGCGACTGCTAATGCGAGATCTGCCGCGATTAACATCACGGGAAAATCCTGCCCTACACCCCTCCGCGTTGTGTAATCAAAATCACGGCTCTCGTAGTCGCAACTTGGTCATGATTTAAATGCATTTTTTTGGATTTTTGATGTTTTCTAGGAATGTCAGAGGTCCTGACAATTACATGATTTAAGGGGTGGGGTATGTCAGGAACTTGTAAAAAGAATGTAAATCCCGTTTTGACTTAAAACGTTTCGGTTGCTTTATCAACATTGATCTATTTAGTATTAAACGATTCGGATGATGTGGCTGCCAAATTTGTGATTTCACCTCTTCCCCTGCTATCAAACCGGGGAATTTTTTTCTGAGACTGGATACTATCGCCGAAAGTGAATCTAGCGTTTGAGTCCTTCATTTGATGTGTCAACATCCCACTCTGTTGCGATGTGGTCCGATTGGCAGTGCCAATCATGTGTGCGGTTATTATCACATGATAAGTTTTTGTGTATCTGTATGCATGTGTTTTACTTTAACTCCATGCCTATCGTGTCTCAGCCACCGACAAGGGCGTTGACTGTTCCCCTGTATTTGCAAGGTGTGCGTCGAATAAAGGTAGTTTCATTTTTTTCCCTTTTCGGTGGCAGTCTGATAATGAGTGCCAAACTTTTTGACAGACTTTTTAAGATAAAAATGAATGGTTGTTTGACACGATTGAATGCAGTAGTGTAGGTTTTCTGCGTTGGTTGTCTTTCACACATTTTTCGGTTGAAGGTTTTCGTTTTTCGGTGGTCACTCTGCAAAGGCTTTTTGTAGTATCGTCGAATGAAAAAAGTCCTCGCGTTAACTTGTGGCGAGTACGCAACTTGTTAAGGCCATGCGTTAGCGTCTTCAATAGAGGCCATAGATGGCTGTAAAACGTGGCTTTTCCGTTTTGTTGCTTTGACCCCACCTTCGCCTCCTCCAGCAATAAGGTCCTCCACAAATGTTTTCTTGGCCTGAAACAAATACCGTTTTAACCCATTGGGTCTAAGGGCGCCTCAAATTCTCGCGATTTTCTCGCCCGAGCTCATACGTCACTTGTTACATCAGATCGCTTTACAAACAGATTGGTTGCTTTCGCAGCACTAAAAGTAGACTTAGAATGTCCCTGACCAGATAATTATCTTTACTTCTTAAAAGGCACTTAAATAAGTCAGCTCGGGTATTACAGGTATTGGTGGGCAATTTTTCCGCCACATCTTGGTAGCAAAACTGTTAGCTGGACCAGGCCTTTAAGCTTATTCATAGTGTCCCTGGGTGCTCAAGATTTCAAACACTGGAGAGGAACTGTTTATTGACTTAGCAATTCGTTCTTTGGCGTTTGGCACAGGTTTTCCATTTACTTTGGGTTTGCCGAACTTCATTCTAAGACGAAAGTCTATAAGTCATTGTGCACCTTTTACACTGGGTGAAACATTTGCGAACAGGTGAAGTGAAGAATTTTTAATCTAGTGTGAATGAATGAATGAATCTGGGTTTTCTCCACTTAACGATCCTGAGTAATTGCAGGGACTGTTCACCGTTCATTGTGAAGTTTTAACCTTTGGAGGCGGCAAAACAGGTAAAATAGGGAATCGTGCTTATTCACTTTGTAAGTTGTACTGTGGTTATACCTGTGTAGAAGTAATAAGGTGGTGGAAAACTTGCAGCCAAATGTGAATAACCGATTTTGTAGGGGGATGAAAGTAACAAAAAAGTATTAACGAAGGGAGTAGCTAAAACACGGCCAGTGGCGGTCCAGTAGTTGCTGCTCGCTAGCGGAGGCAACAATGGTTCAGGCAAGTGTCCTAAAACTTGAAAAGGGAGAAAAGGGAAAAAAGGGGGGAGAAGGCACTAGAGGACAGAAATAGACAGCAATTACACTTAGTACTTTTTCCACGGACTTCCATCCAATTGCGTCGTCGTTTAGGACTTCTGTACCTACTGGTTAAACATATCTGTGGTGGACTTGCGATTTTACACTCAATCAATTTGTTGTCCCTGAATGTAGCTAAAGGAATTTTGTCCTAGGAAATTTGTAGTGCAGACTTGGTGATTAATGGATGTGGACGCACCTGGTTTCTTCTGGCAGCTCAGTACTTTGTGCCTCTGACATAGTGTCGATTCCCATTAGCATTACGATGTTCTAAACTTATCATTGGTGATATTGGACCTTTCATATCTGGTGGCCGGTTGGAAAGCTCCTCCACCTACGCCAATCTCTGTTACTATTGCGGTCGTCAATTAATCAAGTCGGACTTCCCGTAAATAATGCAAAGGTGATGTTTCTCATAATTTGTCCAGTCTCTTCTCAACCCTGTCAGAGATGATCCTCTCAGCTGTGTTAATCTCTCCCTCCAGATAATGACGAATCCTTTTTGATAATGAGTGTGTGTTTGTTGAGGGGATATACTGATGTGGTTCTCTCCACCCACTTTGCAGATCGGACTGGCAATGGTGGCGGACTGTTTGCCTGGCTTGAGCATGGCGGCGTCATTGGCTTTGGAGGACTTGGCCTATGCCTACTACGTGCTAGAGTACACCTCGGGCGAGTTCGACTTCGCTTTGAACTGCGCGGATAGGGCTATTGATATGCTGAGACGGCTCAGACACCAGTACTGCATGCAGTGCGCCTCTGCTAATCGTGTCAAAGGTGAGTCAGTTTATCTATGCTTCCTTTCCCAGTTCATCAATCCTGTTCGTCAATTTTATCGTCTTCATTCCTCTCTGTTTTTCTGCACATCTTGGTGTTTGAGGAAGTCTGTAGAGAATTTGTAGCCACTGAAACCGAAATACCCTCAACCGTGTGTATATCAAGATACCCTAAACTGAATACTTTCTATTTAACGTTTCCTGACTAATGACCCAAAGACTAGTTTTAGTTTTTTTGCTTAAGTTTAGGTACGGGGTAATGGGATATCGCGTGAAATTTGTGGAGATATTAGTGCTTTTTTTATAACCTGACTCGGAGGTTCATTATGAGGGTATTACTTGACAGGTTAATCGACCTCTAAGCCTTTCTGCCATTATATGGGACTCCAAATGTTTCAAAGGTGGAAATTTTCAGCTTCGAACTTCCCCATTTTGTACAAATTTATAAATGATTGGGTTGACGAATAGGGTGGACACTCTCCAAACCTTTGAATACATGTACAATTCATAAAACTTCTGGTTCTGGATGTCAGTGGCACATTGCATGTGTCTGAACTACCCAAGAAAATCCCCCTTCTGACCTGTAAAAAGATTTGGTGTGCATCTAACAACATGATGGCTGAAAGGAGAAGCCAATGGCTCACTCCTAAATAATTCCATCCTGCGGCAGAACAAAGAAGGCTTTGGAAAACTCAGGCGGAATTTTCCCAGTTCAAGATTCATAATTTTATACTTTTGATTTGCAGAAGTAATTGAGTCTATTTAAAAGAGGCTTTCACATTACCTTTCCTTGCTATTTTTGTAGCTGGGAACGTCCTGAGGGATTTGTAGCTATTTGGTCGACTCGCTTTGTATGTTAACTTTTGTGTAGCACACAAACATGGAAAGGAGAGTAGATGGGTTACTAGACATCTGGAAGATGAGATATTCTTATTCTAAACCCAACAGCGTCTGGAAGGTTAAAATAAAAGGGGCAACGGCTGGCATAATATTTGGCCTTCGGTCTTGTAGCCTGTTTAAGAGGGTGCAGGAACTGGTAAGGCGTCTTCAGTGCTGAAGTACATACTCGGGAGAGAAAGATGAGATGGGTCAGTGCTTCATCACTTTCCACCGAGAATGGCCCAGACCCTCTCAGCAGACTACTTTCAATTGAATAAACGTTTGTGACTGTGCATCCTTAATTAAGAGCCAAGCGTCGTCGTTGGTTTTATCATGGATAAAAAGTGATGATAACCTTTATGCTCCCCCATTTCCAGCTCTCATCTTGGAGGAGATTGCAATTGACGACGGCAATCCCGAGGTGATGCACGCGAAACTAATGGACGCCAGGAATCTGCATTTACTCTCACTGGATTTATGTGAAAGGGTGAATTTCATTGTTTACTCAAAATTAAATTAATCTCTTTGTTTCGTTTAAATGAACTTCTCGTGGGAAGTGACAATAATGGGCTGTACAGCCATGGATAAGAAAATAAACCCCACTCTTTAATCTCATGGTAAAATTCTGATTCAAAACACACACTATTTATGCCCATTAATGATCGAGCGTTGAATTGTCAAGTAAATTGGCCATTGTCAGGACAAACTCGTTTTCCCTCTTCTCAGACTTTCGGTGTGTGGAATATTCAAACAGCCAAACACTTTGGTAATCTTGGTCGTCTTTTTCAATCCCTGGAACACAACCAGGTGAGCCATTTTTCTTAACAGACTACCTCTTTATGGTTGGTCGCACAGTTAAATTTCTCTACTGTCTCTGCGCTTTCGCATTGCTTTGATGTGGTTGGCTCTCCGTGGACGTCCGCTCTCTAGCTACTGAAATTACTGGGCTATTTAGATTTTTCGCTCGTGATTGTGGTGTTCGATATTGATAAATCCTCTTTGTTTTGTGTCCTTTGTGACGTAGTGAGTCTAAGGCGTTGATTGTATTTCGTAATGCAGTATGACTTCTGCCTCCTTATATTGGGAGTCGGTACATGGGGCCGACTCCCCCCCCCCCTTCTTCAGCCTTACCGTTGCTGTAATCCCACTGCAGTGGAAATGTTGTATTTGTGGTGTCCTATAACCACCTGTTAGACAAGAAAGATTGTTTTTGAAAGACGCGGATTCAACTGTCCTACGTTCTTGACAGTTTGACCTCGTTCTACAGCGTGCGTGTCCTGCCAACTGCCTTTTGTGGGAATATTTATCCAAAGGCGAAATGGCTTACTAAGACCTGCGCCAAACAAGCTAGCTTCATAAAGCCACACGCTATTTTCATCTCTCTCCAATCACTTATCTGGATTAAGTTTACCTTCCCATTACGTGGAGATGTATTGAGTCCTTGAAGGGATGCAAAATGTGTTTTGGAGTTGTCCCACTGCGGTTCCGCCTCATCACTGGAGTAGGTGGCAAAAGTCAGTGTTGTTTCTGGTAGCCCCATTGTGAGTTCCCACAAATTTAGTCGCCTACAGCAGATGCTGCCTTTCTGTCACATTTTGGCATGAGCTCCGGCTATGGAATAACCTATACCGCTTCTACAAGAAAACGTGCGAGCTAGAAGGGTTATTTTTTTATGAGATCCTAATATTGAATGCAATCACGGTTTGCAACAGTTTCATTTTTATCGTTTTTATTTTTTGGCATCCGTCATACAGACTGCGGAAGAAATGCATTTGAAGGCCATTATGATCAAGGAGCGTCTTCTGGGTCCAGATGACTTTGAAGTAGGTCTCAGTATCGGCCATCTGGCTAGCCTCTATAACTACCATATGAATATGTATGATAAAGCAGAGGAACTCTACCTTCGCTCCATTCAGATCAGTAAGTTTGCAAATACTTTTTTTCACACCATCTTTCTCTCTCCTAAGGTAAGTGGCTTCGTTCTCTTCCTTACCGTATAGGTTTGGATCTCTTCGGTCCCGGCTACAGTGGCTTGGAGTACGACTACCGGGGTCTGCAGCGTGTCTACCGCAAGACGAACAATGCACAGAAGTTGGCGGAGTACAGTCGTTTGTTCGACGAGTGGATGGAGCACAGGTTGGAACACCACATGCCAGAATTTATGCATTTCCTCGCCAGCAACGAGACGGAACACTTTGAACCGAATCCACCGGAAGGCACTTCTTTGGAACAGTTAGTGGTAGACTTCCACGGCGAATTTGACTCCAGACTGGGCATTGCAGCGGTGCAGAGTGGTGTAGAGACAGTGGAAGTGATTGGCAGAACTGTCACTCCGACATTGGAGGGCGAGGCGAGTCGTTCTACGGGTCTGTAGTCGTCTGACTACTCCAATTGTACATAGGGGGAGGGGAGAGAAGATACGGGTACTTTTTACCCGTCTGTTGTTTGCTTTCTGGTCATATGCGTATTGACTTCTTAATGACATTTATCTTCTTGTGTCTGTTTTATGCAGAAGAGAATTTCTGCTGTTACGTCTCTAAGTGCTCGTCTTTCAGCGTCTCATTTTTGCCACAACTGTGCGAAAATTTCGCGCCGATTTCTAACTTCTTGGAGTTGGTGAAGTTGGCAGCCAAATGTTCTGAGACTTCTCCTTTGTTTTTGAAAGAAACTGAAAATGAGAGCGGTGATGAACCAAGTGAATAGTTGAGTATCACGTGAAGAAAGTTAATAAGGGGTACAGTGCGGTGCGATGTCTACGCAGTTGTGCACATTCGTTTCATGGAGTCCGTATCTACTAGAGACATCGGTATCTCCAGAGACCGTTCCTGTTTCTCCCCTTTTTGTTCTATTTTACTCTCCTCCTTTCTGAACCTTCTAGGGCGTATTAAAAACCCCCCCTCTTGTTCGGTTTCCGCTGACTGACCAATGTCACATGTTGATAAACTTGAAATGTGCTAGCAATCGTCTTGAAGCCAAGGTTTATAAGACCCCACAAGCACGCGAGGATGCGGCCATCTCAGGCCTTCCGTGGCCATCCGTGGGAACGTGTGCCCACATCGAGTAGCCTGTTCGCTCAGACGTGCCAAAAATCAGGACTCCTGCAATGGCTGTTTATGAATCCCCAGTTGGCAAAAGTGAGGTCAAAATTCCAGAAATACTAACGCAGAAATTACGAGCTTCCTAAAATTCCACACGCCAGTATGGGACAACCCCGAGGCCGAAATTGTGCGCGTTCAATCTGGGAGTTTGAGAGGCAATCCAGTTCCTAGTATACCTTTACGCATGTCAAATACCTGTCAAGTTAATCCGAAACACACCGGCTTATAAGCTAGTCAAATAAGTGTGGCTCCTACTTTTGGCAGGTAGGCTTTTTAGAGTACTTAGTCCCTTCAAACCAACCCATTTACTCATCCCACGAGACGGAAGCTTGCACATCCCACCATTATAAATCTGTTTTTGACACCAGGCATCAGTAACCAAAAACAAACCCAGACCCGTCCCAATTCCACAACTCGGAAAGGGTAGGAATCGAAGTAAGGCAGTGTACCCCACCCAATCCCAAAGTGTAAATTTTTTAACGGGGAGGTGGTACGAGGTCCTATGTCCCATTGTTTCTGAAGGGGTGGATTTTCCTGCATAGCATTTCATCAAGTAGACAAACAAATTGCTTGACATCCCGTGAGTCGACAGTTGCATCGGTGGTCAACTACACCCACCAGCAGGAGAAAATAAAGCATGACCTTTTGTGAATGAAGCAGTGTAGGCCTTAGAAGCGGGTAGTTGGGGTGGATTGTTTAGAATTTCAGCCAGCATATGTTAATGCATAACATGTGACACCCATCCGGCTAGTGGCTTTTACCATAATTTTCTTCTTGTTGCTGCCACAAGTATTAATTCCATCGTCCCTCTTCGCATGCCGTGCCCCCTCCACAAGATACTTAACAAATATGCTGGAAATCTTCTGACACTTAGGAATCGACTTCATGTGGGTCCGTAATGCGGATAAGCTCGAATCAAGCCCATCAATTTTGACCGATGGAAGACGGACAGAGAGTGCCCAATGGACTTGACACGTTTTCAGCACGTCATCTTTCCTTACATTGGTTGGACGGAGTGGATACGTTTTATTCTCCGAAACGTTCAAAGACTCCTTTCTAACTGACTTTAGAATGAAAGAGGACCTCTTTTAGGCTCGCTGGACTTGTGCTAATTGACCTCTTACACATAAAGCCAAAAATAAACATTATGGCAGGCCTCAGGATAAATACTACAAAAAGATGCAAAAATCCATATTTTCCACGCGGACGGATTCAAATCTCAAGACAGCTTCAAATGAGCCGAAGTTAGCGTGCTGCTGTACCGTAGGAAAAAAGTCTCGCTATCCCGCCATCACTGCTTTTGAAATGTTTAAATTTTTGAGATACTTTCACCGAAAAGAGCGTGTCAACACCAACACCTCAGCATTAGCTGACGCACAAGGTAACATTGAGAAGGAGAAATTCTACCGTCAGCGACGCAATACCGCGCGTATGCGTATGCGTCTCCTACGATGGATTGTGTGGATGGATTTTGCGGGCACTACTACACTTCATGGACCGGCTCACCTCTCCACCACTCGGGGCAAAACTCGCATCTACTATGCTTTGGTAGTGACCCTTTGTTCCATTCTCTTCATTTTTCATACCGCCCACCTTATTCGTCACTTTCGAGCCTATCCCATTCTCACCGCCATTAAGTACGATAACATGGATTTTCGTTATCCGGACATCACACTGTGTCCACACAGTCCCTTTACTGACGCTCAATTGTTCGCAGATAATGAGACTTCTGCACTAATAGAACGAGTCTATGCCATGGCCAAGGAGAAGTGGTGGCGAAATCCCGATGTTCTCAACATGTCACCCAATGCCTTTGTTAAACGAAGCCTTCTTGGACAGTTCTATCGAAATTCCTTAAAAATTGGGAAAAGACTATTTGATCATGTCATTTTTTGCGAGGTAAATGCTTTTTAGAAAGCGATTACCTCTCCCGTAAATTTAATAGTGAAGTAGAAATGGTTATTCTTATCTTTATTCTCTAGTTGAATGGAGTAGACTGTCTGGACCAATTCCTAGTGACTGAGCATCCAGTGTATTACCGATGTTTCACATTGCGTATCAAGCAAAATCCACCATTTCCAGCTGGACCGACACATGGAGTGCAAATTGTGTTGCATCGAGGTCCAAGGAATGCTCAACCACTGTTGGTTTTGGACGAAAGTGAACCCTTCCTTGTGCAGTCAAATGTGGCACCACTTAACAAGAGTAGTCTGCGTCCTAATGCCTCGCGGGTAACCGCTGCTCTGCCTAAAGATGGCTTTTATGTGGTTTTCCATGAGTACAAGACCTTTCCAAATTATCCTCTACAGGTAGTTTGATTTGAAATGTGTGATTTTGTTACAATTTGCGTACCACTTCCACCACTTTTGATGCATGTCAAATCGCCTGAATGTTTGACTGACTTAGAATCTGGCTAATGGACTAACCCTGCGTTACGGTCGATTCACAAGGATCGGGTTATCGTCTATGGACTTGAATTCAATCAACCTTAAGAGGCGTCCCTGTTTATTCTCTGAAAGCATTCCAAAAATTCAACTATCCAGGCATGATCGCATGTCGGACAGTAATTTTAAATCAGATAAACGTAAGTTCTTTGGGGTTTAGGGCACAAAAATGGGGTTTTTTAATACAAAAAAGGAGCACTTAAAGGTGAACATTCTTGTTCTTTAGCTAAGGAGGATGAAACCCTATCAGAGTTCGAGTACACTCAACAATCGTGTCTGGCAAACTTTCGACAACTTTTGACCAAAGAAGAGTGTGGGTGTTTCTCTGACGCCTATTCCATTCCCTACAGCGCACGACATGTGGGGCTAAAATATTGTCTTGATGTGGAACAGAGCTCCAGCAATGTTGTCAAGATGCCCGAAATTATTGCCTGTGTTCATAAAGTGGAAAATATGACAGACGCTGAGGTAATTCCATGCCCCCTTGCCTACCTCGCTTGATGCATCTTTGTTCGCCAGAATTATAAAGCCTCTTAAACTACTGGACAGTGGTATGACTTTTAAGATCGACGATTCCTTTTTATTTGATAAATACAGATTGCAAAAGCAGTGATACCCACGATTCCCGGTGATGGTATGAAGGGATGTCCACTGCGCTGTGATCAGCGCGACTTTCATATTCATCTGCACTACACCTCTGACCTGAAGCAAGACTTTGATCCGGAGAGATTCATAACTTACTTTGAACGTGTTCAACTTCTGGGTAAGAATAACAGCTTCACACCACACATACAATTGGATGGTGCAAAGATTAATGCTACAGAGCTCATTGTTTTGGACATTAGTCCTATATCGGAGGGCGTGAGCCAGGTAAGGTCACGGAAGTTGCTGTTGCTTTGCTGGTATTGAAGAACTGCAATAATTTTATACTTTCAGATAGTAGAAGACCGCGCATACACGGTAATTCAATTTCTAAGTGAACTGGGTGGTGTTTCGGGCTTGTATGTTGGCATAACGCTCTACACTTTAGCGGAGTTATTTGATCTCACGGTGCGCTTCCTCATGCTCTTTGTTCCCTATATTTGGTACCAATTTCGTTATAAAAGGCAAAAGAAGCATAATAAAAGCTTTCAAGACCTGATGGAACAGATCGAAAAGGAGCCTGAGGTGAAATAGATTCGTCTATTAACATACGTCTTCTTTTCTTTCGGGATGAATAAGTGTTACAACAAGTCGAAGGTAGCAGATTTTATTAAATCCCGGGCGCTAGCTAATCTATGGAGGGATAAAAGCCTAGTCAAAGTTTAAAATTCAAATCCATTCTTGGATAAAATTGATTTTGACTTTAGTTTAATAAGTTGGAAATTGTGAGCTAAGTAGGATACTTGTACTCGAAATAAAGTTCGTGTTAATCGTTGTGTGAGGGACATTAATCTACGTTATGGTACAGAAATCCAGCATTCGCTTTAAAGTCCAACAAGACCAAATAATCAAATTAAAATATAAAACAGGATCACAAATATAAGCACTCTTCACTTATTAAGAAATCAGTACTGCAGGTTATATACTATGACATTACTGTATTTTATAACACTTGCAGTTGGACCCGAAGGCAGTTGTTCATAGCATGATATGGGTTTTAATACCCCCTTTAGCTAAGCGGTCTCTCCGGTTAGGTCACCTGGTCATGCCTATGGTGTCCCACGCTTTGTAAGAGTTAGTAAGGTATTTTGCCCTGACACAACCATTTACAAGTTCAGAATCGCTCAGAAGACTTATTTGTGACATGTATATGGTGTAATCATTTCATTATAATTGCTCAAGTTTATGATCCTATAACCATGTTAGAGAAGCATTCCAATCTGCGTGCTTCCATGCGATACTTGTATCTTACCACAGCAATTAATTGTTTGGGACGCCATCCATATTTACAAAATACAAATATGGTTGTTTTGTTTTATGGAGCTCTCTCGTTTTAAAAGCTCAATTTTAGCCTAAGTTATCACCCGAGAGCATGATAACCCATTTCTGCATGCAGGTTTTAGAGGAAGTTTTTGATTATAGGCATATTTTTCCCCAAACGCACTTGTTTTCTATTCCTGGGTGCTGTTTTTTCATTAGACAGTGTATTTAATGCCCACGTATTTCATAGTTGCGCACTCTGATATGTAGAACGTAGGACGAATCTTGTCGGCCTTCAATTTGAAAGGGTTTTGTGCTAATAGCTTATTATCTGGGGTAGGCCCGTATTTATTTAACAAAAATGAGTTATCTAATGCAGTTTTGAACATCATCCTCTTTTGTTCAATGCAAGTTTACGCTGCTTTAAGTTTGCCGTTAGTGTTGTCTTGGTGTCTTTCGACACCTCTTGTGAAAGCTTTGAAAATGATCTTGCTGGTGATATAATTTCGTTGTTTTCGCTTACTGTCTTGTTGCTATCACTAGATCGAGTAAGAAGATGATGGCAACATTTGCTTATTTTAGTGTACATATGTCTGACACTCAGGATACATCGGCTGTGGAGCGTTTTGAGGCTTTGATGTCGCAATGGCGCTCTGAGCGGAACCAAGCAGGATATATCCCCGTGGAAATACTAACTCAGTAATTTGTTCGAATCCCTTCTTACTATCCTCATTTAGACTAGCTGGGCTCTTTGAGGAGCAAATCAACATTTACTACCATGCCGATCCAGATCCATTGGATGATAGACATCCGCTACGCGCGCAAAGTAAATGCGAATTCGGACTTCTGCTGCGTCTTATTTCCGCCCACGATACCTTTTTCAATCGTCTCACAGAATATCTCTGCTGCAGCGATGATCCCCACAACTCCACTGTTCGAGCTGCAGCCCGTCTGCTTTGTTGCATCCAGCTCGGTGTCACTATCTCAGTAACAGTCTCCGAGACGGTAAGCGAGAGCTATCTTTTGCTTCTCACTCACTCTGTCTTGTTCAATTTAGGACAGTACAGTGAATTCCCTCTACAAATTCGCCTTCAGTAATGCGGAACCAACTAACTGCTATGCTCTTCTCATCCTTGGTTCAATTCTTGACAATGCAGAACTTTTGTATGTCACTAAACAGCGAAATATTGAGTTGGTAAGCTTCTCACGACTCATACTAACGCTGTAGGTGTCCGTGGTCCTTGAGCGAATGTCAACCTACACGGCAGCACTCGATCAGGACATTGCTGAACGTAAGGACTTATAAATTTTTACTCACTTGTTTAGATCCTACCCCAAACAATGATGATTTTAGCCGTCGATTGGGTTCCTTCTGTTTAGAGCCGCTCAATTGGGAAACCAAACTGCGGCTCTGTATGACTTACCTTACCTCTTTAGCGGAGTATCAAGATGTAAGTGTTTAAAAGCTCCGCATCTCTCTATGTGATATACGCGTTTTTGAAATGCTGCTTTCACTTCTTTCAGATGATGCCCTTCATGTACGATGGAGGCGTGCTGAAATACGTCTACCTCTTCTTAGAGCCGAAATACTCATCGCGTGACATACGTCTCACCTTCGAGGCACTTCGTCTACTGGCCAATCTCCTCTGTCATCGGTGCATTCACCTGGACTTTGTCGAGTCGCAGGGGTTGGAACTGTTGATGAAGGTGCCTAGACCCTCAGTCGCTGCTACTGCTGTCGGTGTAGTGATGTACTACACCTCGTACTTTGAAGACGCCATGGAAAGGGTAAGCTATTGTATTTGGTATTATTAATCATTCTCATGCATATTTATCACTTCTTGGCAAGATTTGGTACCAAAGGAACGATTAAAGCAACTATCTAGTTAAATTTTTGTCTTGAAGGGCATATTCCTCACCTTTAAAATTTATAACGGTGGTAGGGGGTGTTTGTAGGCTCAATTTGGGCTGCGTGAGGTGAGTCATTCACGCCCAGGGCTGTGACCCGATGGGGCTGCATGCTAAAACTATCACTCCTCGGCTTAGTCTGTTGAATTTATGTACGCGGAGCATGAGCTACAGATGGATAGTTTTGACTCGAAAGGCCTCTTAGAGTGCAAGAATCTAAAATTGACATTCTTATAAGATTAAAGAAGGGCTAGTAAGTGAGTAACAGGTGGCATAGGTAGAGCCATACGCCACCGTATTGGAACCTATTCGCTGGCGACTGAGGAGGCTCTATTCTGTCCAATGTAGAAATATGGTCAAATTTAATACGTAAATTAAAAAGTAGATTCTGATTTTAGTTCCCGGAAGTAGAAACCCTACAATTACCTTTTCATTTATAAATCACGGACTGTAGCACCGGGGATAGCTCTCGCGATTTTATGAAATGCCCAAGCCTAACTGTTGCCATTACACCGGTCGGGGGCACGAACGGAGCTCAATATCATCATTGTAGAAGTTAATTGTCGGGAGATTGAGGAATGCCTTTTACAGACTAGCATACTTAAAAGTATTAAATAATATCATTTGTATATCCCTTTTTTACTCTGGCAGATGTGCACCCTGCGGCCGAAGCTATTGGAGGATCTGATGTCGTACGCCCTGTGGCTAGTGGAGTGCTCGCATCCCTCGGCGCGCTGTTATGCCCTCTACTTTCTCAACATCGCCCTCTGCTACGGTGCCTTTTTCCGCATCTTCACCGCACGCAACGGTCTGCGCTACCTTTTCAATGCTGTGCGTTTGCCTCCTTTCCTTCCTCCCACTCGCTTTTATTTCTGCCTTTATTGTGTTTTTATTGGTTCAAAACCTCTGAGAAAGTGAGCATTTAAGACTAACAATAGGAAAGGGCTGGAAGTCATGCGTGGATGGTACGGCGTGAGAGCATTTGCGATGTCTGTGTCTGTGTGCCTAGACGGAATAAAGATCTACATATAGTAGGATATATGCGTTACCACGTATCTTCTATGATTGGAAGACAAATATCGTTTCACAGCTATGGTCTTATGGATTTTACTAATTTATGGTCGTGATCATTGTATTACTGTGGGTAAAGGTCTTTCTTTATTGCTTTTGTGAAATACACTGGAAGTGAAATGGGCGGTTACATATTTTTAAATCCAATTTCCGCCGTTTTAAGTTGTTGAGCGGAGAGGAGTTTTGATAGCAATCGTTCCCAGTTATTTGCTCTTCATTCCATTCTTTTGCTACTTCTCAACATTATCAGGGCTTATTGCAACAAGTTTGCTGCATTTGAGTAAGTTTAAACAGAAAGAGCGACATAGGTCACGGCTTTCATTATTGGCGATGGGATGAGGCCATAGACGGAATTCAGTTCGTACTGCCAGATAAAACTTTTGTAAAACGTGATGTAGGGCCTTTTAGGTCACGTTCCCTGCTGCTAGAGGATAGAGCTGCGACGTGAATAAGTTTCAGTCCGATTGCAAGCAAAATTCCCGTCACATGTTTTTAAAGAAAATATTCACACCCAGATTTAACTCACCCAAGCCAGTCGGCAGAGGGTATCATTTCATGTGATTCGCCCTGACGAGCCTCACTGCAATGACTTCTCCTCTTGTAGGGAAGTGTATTTGACTTTATATTCATGTATCATAAAGCAGAAATGAGAATTCGTCTATCAATACGAACCTCGTCATCCGCTGACTTCTGCCGTTCTGATGCTCGCCTTATATTTGGATGGTGTTGTGCCCTGGATTTGTTTCATAAAATGATGCAATCCATAACACTGGCTTTTCGTGTCAACATACTGTTTGACTCAGTGCAGCACTAAGCTCTTCTGTATTGCTCAAAAGTGGGAAATTGTCTTGACTCCCTGCATGGGTTTGCTCTTCGAAATAGCATTCTTAATGGTCGTATGTACCGCTAGCTCAGAGCGCTTCGCCTCATACAATTTTATGGAGTTTTGTCTCTATCAGTTGTTTTCCGTACTGAATGTCAACTGCTGAGGTGTGGACTGGGAACCATCACCGTACTTGAGGTAGTCACTGCCATGTAGGAATGCGATCACCTTTTAAGCGTTTGGACCCTTTAAGTGCCTCACTACTGGGTAACTGCAAGTCTCGTCATCGTGAAACGTTTGTAGTTTTCCGCGCGAGTTTTGCGCCACCATTGCGGCTTTAAAACGCCCAGTTTAAATTGAGCGTCCTTTTTGATTGTACATCATCTAGAACATAGGACGCTCGGGGATTTGGGACATGATCGTACAACAGTGGATCAACCTCCTTATTTTCACGTTTTAACTGCAGCTCTGCGTACTGCCAATCCGTTTGACAGAAGACCAAACCAACGTGCAGAAGGACACGGCCTCGTGGCATGTGGTGCGTGCCAGTCTTCTCACTATACGACGCTACTTGGACATTAGCCTCCTCCGTTGGATCGATTCCCTCGACCCCTCCCTCGCCGGGGTCTTTGATGAGCCACCCAAATTGGTCCTAGCTGCTGGTAATAGGGTGAGTTCGCGGGTTGGAACCATTCATTAATGTACCTGGCTATTTTACTCCTTTTTCGTACATTGGTTGAGTTGCGGTCCCTGTGAGTCGGGTCAGCATGCTTAGTTGTACTATTTGACTTGACGCATCTCGCCTCGCGTCTTATGATGCACATGGGAATATGAGGTACTCCTGAAAGCTATTTATTCGCACTTTTGGTGTATTGCCGGCTCACCAGGAGCCAGGAGACTGGGGAAACCCTATTGACAGCTTGCAACAAGCACCGATGCGTATCTACGATGATGTGGACCTATTTCACTTCTCGATGCCACTTTGAGGCTAAACGAATGCTTTTGTGTTTACATTTCCTTAAAATGAGCTCAGTTGAATTGGTAATGGTAAATGTCTCTTTTAGATAACTTTCCAAATGAGAGACACTACTTTCAGAAAGGTATTGCCGTTCTTGACATTGAGGGCTTCCACTTAACTATAACATTCTCGACAATCCCTTCAGGAGGAATGGCTTTCGTATTTAATCATTGAGCGAACGAACAATGCTTTGATTACTCTCCAACGCCCTACCTCCAACTTCTAAGGCATGCGCCACTTCATGCTCAAAATGTTTTGCTTATTTGGTGTGCGGTAGACTCCAAACAGAATTTTTCCTTTACCGAACCACAAATACGACTGAGATCATCTACTCGATATAGCTGAAATCAACTTGATATGCAAAAAAAGTTTTTTAGGAGAAGCCATTGCTGGTAAAAATCCCGTTCTCACAAACCGATGCATTGTCTCAGTCCGCTAAACCCATTCGTGAAAAGAGTTACATTTTAGGATGGGATGGCAGATACTGCCTTACCTCGTCCTTCTAGGGGATCACCACCTCGGCATTAGATAATCAAATAGCAAATTAGCTGATTCGGAGGTAGCTGGTGGTGGTTTTGTTTGCTTCCAGTGGTAAAAGGTTTTATGGAAATGAAACTTACCAAATTAACTTTTCTTCTGTTACAAACGGACTATCAACCATAGATTGTCGTGGTGTTTGTTTCAAGTACTGGAATGTTTTATGACAAATTTTAAACTGTTAAGAGCTCAGTTATCCCTCTGGAATTCCTCTTGTTTCTTTAGTTGATCAGCTATACTACGGAGCAGATGAACCGCCTCATCTCCCTAGTGGTCTCACGTATGCGTCCCTCCACCACCTTCTCGCCCATCCTGGAGCTCCACAATTTAGGTGCTATTCCAGTGCTCTACCGCATAATTGCTCGCAACGCCTATGCCCACGCCAACTGGCCGGGGCGTAACGAGTGCACTCGGCTAGCAGTGGACATCCTTAACGTCATGTGTCTATCTGCCGACTTGGCTGAGGAGATTGTGGCCACTGACGTCTACTCTTTTCCCGGTGGTATCACCTTCTCTGGCATCTCTCCCCTGCGTATCTTCCGTTCGCCCCGACGTAGAGGTCGGAACTTTGTGGAAATTATCGCCGAGACTAATTATGACGATGATGATGAGGATCGGGATGACGAGAACCCTGCTGGCGGCGGTGAGGGAAACGTCGGAATCAATGAGGCGGAGGAGGACGATGATGAGATGCAAGTTGTGGTAGGCAGTGGACTCCATTTGCGTCCCAGTCTTCATCGAGGCACAGCAGAGCTAGCGAATTCAAACTCTACACCACCGTGGAGGAATAACAACGGCGACAATAACCCTTCAAGGAGAGGATTGGGCCATGGTCGACGATCTGCTCCTCCTCCTGGAAATTCTCGTCGGGATATTGATCGCCTAGCCGATGAGCCGTCTTCTGAGGATCATGTCAATGGACTTCTGTGAGTTTGCGTACAATTATCTGTTGCCTTTTATAATCATCTCTTATTCTTTTAACTACTTGAGTAGGCTAATGTTATAAGTAAAGTGTGCCAAAAGGACTTACACATTCCTTTTTCGAAAATGCTGAATTGCAACTTATTAAAGTCTCTTT